TCCTCCTCCTCCTCCTCCTCCTCCTCCTCCGTGCGGGGCACGACCCAAATGATGCGCACGACGTGCGTCCCAAGAGATACGCGCCGGAGGACGACCCAGAGGAAGCGCGCGGTGGAGGACGTCCCAGAGGACGACCCAGAGGAAACACGGGAGTTGCGAGCCCCATAGGGAGGGACCACGAGGCGGGGGGGACCACGAGGCGGGGGGGCAGGCGGGGGAGGAGGAGGAGGAGGAGGAGGGGCAGGAGGAGCATGAGGAGGGGCGCGAGGTGACGAGATGTGTTGAGACACGATGGGGCATGCTGGTGGTGGTGATGATGTTGATGATGCTGAGGATGAGGATGAGGATGATGATGATGATGATGATGATGATGATGATGATGAGGATGAGGATGGGGATGATGATGATGATCATGTTGATGATGATGAGGATGAGGATGGTGTTGTTGATGATGTTGATTGTGGTGACAATGCTTTTGCTGATGATGATGCTGCTGATGATGAAGGTGTTGATGAGGATGATATGGTGGCGGTGATGGTGATGGTGATGATGATGATGATGCTGCTGATGCTTCTGACGAGGATTGATGGTGGGGGTGGTGGTGGGTTTGATGATGAGGATGAGGATGATTATGCTGATCATGGTGGTGGTGATGGTTTATGTGATGATGATGATGAGGAGAAGGAGGCAGAGGATATGCAGGAGGAAGCGGATGATGACGGGAAGGAAATGGTGATGATAATGATGCGACTGATTAGGATCACGATATTGATGTTGATGCTGATACCGCTGCCTGTGATGATGATGCTGCTGCTGCTGAGGAGGAAGAGGAGGAGGAGGAGGAGGAGGAGGAGGAGGAAGAGGAGGAGGAGGTGATGGTAAATATTCATACGAATATGACGACGGTGATGTTGATGATGATGTCGATGACGATATGGTGGTGATGGTGATTCTGATGTTTTTGATGATGATGATGATGCTGATATGATGATGATGGTTGTTGTTGATGATGCTGCTGCTGCTGATGCTGATGATGTTGTTGTTGATGAGGATGCTGCTACCGATGAAGACGTTGATGATGATGACGACGCCGATGAGGATGATGCTGATGATGATGATGGTGGTGGTGGTGATGATGATGGTGTTGGTGATGATGCTGATTATTATGATGATGGTGAATGTGATGATGATGCTGAAGATGAATGATGCTGATGCTGATGATGGTGGACGGTGGTGGTGGTGGTGGTAGTGCTGACGATGATGAGGAGGAGAAGGAGGAGGAGGACGTGGACGGTAGGGAGAAACAGGTGATGATGATGCGATTGATTAGGATCACGATATTGATGCTGATGCTGTTGCCGTTGCTGCTGCTGATGATGCTGCTGGTGAGGAGGAGGACGAGGAGGAGGAGGAGGAGGAGGAGGAGGTGATGGTGAAGATTTCTCTGAATCTGACGATGGTGATGCTGATGATGTTGATGGTGATATGATGGTGATGGTGATGCTGATGCTGATGCTTTTGATGATGATGGTGACGATGATGTTGTTGATGATGAGGATGATGATATGATGGTGATGGTGGTGGTGATGATGATGCTGCCGCTGATGCTGCTTATGTTGTCGATGCAGATGCTTAGAGTGATGATGGTGTTGATGATGATGACGACGCCAACGCTGATGATGATGGTGGTGGTGATGGTGATGATGTCGGTGGTGGTGGTGATGAAACATACGATTCATATGTTGAAGGTGATGACGATGGTCGTGGTGATGATCATGATGACGATCATGATGATGATGGTGATGATGATGTTGATGGTAATGATTACGATGATGCATGAGGCTGGTGATGATGAGTGATGGTGGTGGTGGTAGCGATGATGATGCTGATGATGATGTTGATGATGATGCTGGTGATGATGCTAATGGTGATGATGATGGTGATGCTGATGATGATGATGATGATTATGATTATGGCGATGATGATGATGATGATGCTGATGATGATGATGATGATGATGATGATGATGATGATGATGATGATGGTGATGATGCTGCTGATGATGCTGATGGGGATTATGATGATGCTGATGATGATGATGCTGCTGCTGATGGTGAGGAGGAGGAGGAGGAAGAGGAGGGGGAGGAGGAGGACGGGGAGGAGGAGGCGGACGTTGAGGAGGGAGAAGAGGACGAGGAGGAGGAGGACGAGGAGGAGGAGGAGGGGGAAGCCGACGCGCCAAGTGGCTGAAGGCACGTACGCTTTCGGATCTCCGCGCGGACTCCTCGAATCTGCGCTGGGCCCACCTGGCGGCGCCTTCGGCGCCGCGCCCTGGCGCACTCTGCGCGCCAGGGATGGGAGCTTCAGCCCAGATCCCCAAGAACCTTGCGAATCTCCAACAGTGTATGTTTGCGTATTTTTTTGAACCACGAGGGGGGGGGAGGGGGGGGGAGGGGGCCGGTCGTCACGTCACGATTCGCGCCGTGACAGGGGGGAAGGGAAGCGGAAGGGTGTGCGTGGCTGGTCGTAGGCGTTATCGCGAGCACTAGGAGAAAGGGGGTCTGTTCGGTTGTAAATCGTGGGAGTGTTGTAGACTCTCGTCGCTCCGTCTTTAGAGTGATTTCGCGTACGCTTGCGTCTGGAAATCGGTGAAAGAGCGTCGAATTAGCGTCGATCAGTGCCGATGTAGCATCGATTCGCATCGATTTTGCGTCGATCTAGCGTCGGCTGGCGTCGACTAGGCATGAATCCGCAAGAGCCAACAAGATGGTGTGGGAGGCTCCCGCGACTTGCTGCAGCAGGAGGTCCCAGAACGGTGCGATGGAGGAGGAGGAGGAGGAGGAGGAGGAGGAGGAGGA